ATGTGGTTTAGCCAGCAGGGAAGGCTGCTGCACTAACTTCCTGCATGGCTTTGCCCTGGAGTCCACAACAGCCAATCTATGGTCCTCAGTCCCAGCTCAAACATGTTCTGATACTCATGATTGCAACATGTAGTTTTAGGTCATGTTTTATTTACATATTGCTTTTTTGTACCAATTTCTTGATACTTTCTGATAGTGATTAGATATCACTAATATTAGTGATAGATAGATAGACAAGATTGTGATTGCTGTCTGCAGGGAAGGAAACCTGCCTCCTTGCTCTGCTGCAAGAAAAGAGTTCCAAAAACAGCTGCTGTCCAGTCAGCCAAAATGAGCAAGAAAATCCTGAGGGCTACAAAGCATGACTTTATTTATGCTGTGGGTTAATCTCTATTAATTTCCCTTATTATGTGTTTATTGTATAGAATGGCCCATGTTCCAGTAGCTCCAGAGAAAGGCCAGATCAAGGTTATGCAAAACAAATTCCTCTGGGTTTTCCAGTTTGTATAAAAAGAGTTTTTGTTCAACTGAGTTAACAAAATGTCATTTAAGCCTCTTAGTATGTTCACTCATGACATTTAGCAATCTATGCATTTATATTATATCCCTGCCCTCCTCTGCTTTTTGATTGGTTAGCTGAATGAGCTTTTGTTTTTGTCTTGTTTGGTTTGGGGGTTTGTTTGTTTGTTTTGTTTTCCCTAGCCTGTGAGGAAGGTTTTCCTCATAAGTTCAGTTTTACATAACATTTTGTAGTTGAAAGTCCAAAGATTTTCTTGGGTTTTGACACCTTCAAATTAAAATTAGGCATACTGTTGTCTCTCTCAGCAGGAACCCCCTCAAGAGACTGCCTGGGAGTCACACTTTACCTAAAGTACCAAATGAGCTGTGATGTCGTACAGATGGTGGCTCCAGCTGTGGTGGCAACTCTTAGTGTTGCCAGATACTATGCTCTTGATGTTTTGGTGCTGTCTACATCTACTGTAAGCATCAGCACCAGGAGCATGAACATTATGCAAAATTGCAAGACTTTAAAATTTTCAATTCCAAATTAAGTTGAGGGTAGGAGAAAAAGCATATCACTTGTGAGGTGAAGACTCAAGGAAGAAGATCAGTGCTGTCAGCAAGTCAGAGCTGAAAACAGACAGATATTAGGAATAGTTTATAAAATCTTTCAAGAGATGCAACTAAGGAGGGAACCAGAAATCACTAAAACTGGCATGAGAAGATGGACATGAAATGGAGGCAGGTAAACACAATGCTCATTGAAGCATTGGTTGAAACAGACTCTGCTTTGACTTCATCAAACACTGGTCAACTACCTGGTCCTTTAACTGCCCACTCACTGGGAGAACAATGTTGCTACTCAAATTTTATCTGGTTTCACCGAAGACGAGTTGCTGAGCAACCACTAAGACCAAGAGCAAGCTGAAGAATGTAAATGCCACCTCCCTGCATGTTTCCTCCATCAGATCACCATCAAGCATACTGCCTTCCCTGTAAACACCAGTTGACACTTACTTGCCTATCAGGGAACAAGAATGGAAATTCCATCACAGCATTAGGGGGAAAAACCCCGTGCTATCAAGCTACCTGGTTACCTGGAGTGACTGAGGAATCTCCTACCTTGGCATATCTACAAATGACTGGAAAAGACACAAAGTAGCATGAGTGAAATCGGCCCTGTCCTGAGCAAGGGGTTGGAGCAGGTGCTCTCCAGTTGTCCCTTTTTTCTATCATCAGTAAACAACTGCACAGTGACTCAGTAAAAAAGAAAGGACACTTTTAGGCACTTTTAGCTTCCTAGCTAAAACTACACTGTGCTGCTATAACTAAAATGAAAAGAAATAACACAGTGGTGAAGTGTTAAGATGAAGGCAACTTGGAAATACATAAATCCTCACACACAGGGACACAGGCAAGTGTTGATGTTGGCTGCTCTGTTCAAAACCAGTCCAACAGCAAAATATGAGGGCAGAGGAAAGGGTGCTTGAGGTTGAGGAAACTTTTGCAAAAAGAATGATGGCAGACTTGAAAGTGCTGGGCTGATGGTTTTACTTAATTATCATAGCGGTCTTTTCCAACCTTTACAATTCTATGATTCTATGATTTAATTTGATATTTTCAGAAGTCTAGTAAAAGAAATAGTCTTACATTTCTCCTCAGAAGCCCATAAGGTTTTTACTGTTTCAGATAACTATCCTATGGGACATAATTTTGTTCCCAGTCACAGGTAGAAGCTGGAAAGCTTGACCTCAAAGGTATTTACTTCTACCTAGGAGAAAAATTCAGTTGTATTGAATGGTTTCAGTTCCAGGAAAGTTATACTTGATAAGAACCAGAAATCAATCTTTAAGGCAGAAAAAGCTTTCACAAATGTCAGCATTCTGTTTGCTCCATTACACCATTTTCTTTTCTATAAGAGAGGTCCCTGGACCATTAGGAGCTGCTTAATGTGTGCTTTGGGTCTAACATAGCAAAATGACACTGACCTCTTCCCCCACTAATGTGACAACATCCTCCCAGACCCAAGCACAGGAGAACTAGACCAAACATTTCAGCATAATGGCAAGATTCATAACAAATCTCAAAATCTTCCTTACCCCAACTCAAGAACTCACTTGCCTGTACATCTAAAGATTTTTTTATCCCTTTAGGTCCTCTTTCAGTGGGAGTTTCTGTTCAGTTGCTGTGTCCCTCTTTTGTGAGTCTTTTCCAGAGCCATTGCTTCAAAGTATAGTTTTCCATCTTCATTTTGTGGCCTTCATTCTCTGTTTTAGATATATAGATGCATGTTTACCTGTAATAAGGTATCATATTATATGCTTGCTTTTTGTTTACCACTTGATTACATCAGTGGCCTATTTTCGTTTCTGTTCCACTGGTCTGTTGCCATGGGATGGGTTTATGGTTTTTCTCTGTACCACAGATCAAAATGGAAAATGGCTGGGAGACAATCTAGGTGGAGCTTCACTAGTTACCACCCCTGAACAATGAATGATACTGAACAATGATTGTTTAACATTAAGACTACTGATAGAGTTAACCATTGGATTGTGAACTGATATACTGATATACTGTAACCTCTCCATCAAAGAGCTGCACAAAGCTAAAGCCTAATGCCTCTAGCAGCTTTATATGAAAATGCCTTACTCTTCTGAGAAAGGTAACACATTATCTCAGCAAAATCTGCTTTCTGTAAATGCATGTCACTTAGTATAAATAACATACTTTCTTTTATCTTGGTATTTATTAAAGCAGTCATTTTGGGCAGCACACCTTTCAGGCTATGGACTTCCATCAGGCAAGAAGAATCCAGGCAATGTCAGGGGTGGACAGAAATTCACTGCCTGAATTGACTGGGTTATTCCATGTATCTTTCAAAACACTGCTTCAGTGTGGACGTTTTTTCAACCCCCTGGATGTCCCCTGGATTTCCAGGTCTTCTGAAAGTGAATTTTAGTGACAAGCTTCTGCCAGCTCTTAGGAAGTTCTGGGATGCTGACACATTTTCTGCTGATAGAATATCTGGTATCAGTGGCTGTTGTTTCTGAGAGTTTTGACATGCCTACTTTTTCCCCACAGCAGGGACTACACTTGTTTTGTCTCCCAGATGCAGAACTGAGGTAGTCATTGAAATTCCCAGAACAGATCTATTGAAAATGTTTGTTTGGTTTATATTGTGCATAGGCAAAAATACCCAGGGAAACTTGAGTCAAAACTGAGGCAGACTCTTGACAAATCCCCTCGAAGTATTTCCTAGTGGAGCACAGTTAAGTTGGTTGAAGCTTCACCCCTTCCTCTGTCACTGCTACCATTTATATACTGTCTCCAGATATCAGTTAATACATTATTAAAATCCCTTTGTTACTATAACTTTAGAGAAGCCTTCTTCTGAAATATTTGTTATCTGTATTTATGCTGCTCTTCATCTCTGCGGCGTCCTTGCCCTTCTGTGGAGCTCCATGGCAGCCGCCTCTCCTGGCTGCGTGCCGCCCGTCACTGTATCCCGACAAACGCTCCAGTATCGGCACTGCCTCAGCGTGGGAGACACATGAGAACGTGCTTCCAGTACCCTCGGGAGCCGGGGGGATGCATCGGCGGTGGGCCGGGCTCCCGGGGGAAAAAGGGACAGGGCCACCGGGATCCGGGATTCGCAGCCGCCACGGACGTCATCCTCCCACGGAACCTTCCCTCTGTGCCTAAGCCACTTTTTTTAATCACTTTTCAATTTTTTTTTTCACCACATACAAATATATATATATATATATACACACACACACAAAATTTTCACAGCTTCCCACAGGCGCCAGTGCCTCGCGAGCAAACAAGTCCCCTCACGGCGCGGGGCCGGGCCCGCGCTGCCGCAGTGCCGCCCAGCGGCCCAGAGAGCGCGGGGAGCTAGGCCCGGCCCGCCGCCGGGGAATGGGGTCCGCGGCACCCACCGGGGTAAGCTTCGTTCCCCTGAACAAGCTGGCTGTTCTCTCCCTTCCTTGGCAGCGGGGCCTGCGGGAGCGAGGCTGCCGCTGCCCATGGCTGCCCGGGAACAGAGCTCTGCGCCGGGGAGGATGTGCGTGCTTGCTGGGCTGAGCCCTCCCCTTGTCGCCCCAGCTGCTTTCTCCGACTCCCTGGCTTTTACACGTGTGGATTTATCATCTTTCCCTTGAATGATAAATCCCTGTTCCGGGGCAGTATTGTAAAATTTAAGCAGTTCTCGTCTGCTACGCAGATAAGTAACTATTTTACTTTCTGTTTAGAAGCCACATCTCTGTTTTTTTTCCTTCCCTGTCTGGGCCAGCCTGGAGATAGTAATTGTCTCTGGGCGATGGTCCGTAGGTGAAACCTCTGCCCTGCTGGAGAATGTGACAGTGATCGATGTAGTTTCTAATCAGTTGAAGTCCCTTGTCACTCAAGTCAAACTACGCCACAGTGCACCAACAGCAAATGATGCCTGAGGAGACATTGTGAACCTGACTGTGGAAAGAGCCTGTGCACGTTGCTATGTCAAGCTACAGCTCATATTTATAGGTGCCGGTACACAAAATAAGGCCAGTTCATGGGAGAAATGCAGATTTAGTCTAACTTCTCTTCACCAGACATCTGTCTGAAATAAAGCGTTCTAGACGGTAGATGAGGGTGTGTGAGCACACCCATTCAGGATAGGGTGGAACCAGGATGTTGCCTGCCTGAGAATGTGAAGCTGCTGCTTGGCAAAGCACACAACCCTTGGAGACATGCCCAGAAAACTGAAGCACCCCATAAAAGAACTAAAACAAACAAACAACAAAAATGCAAGCAGAAAAGAGCTCTCATAGTGGCTTCTTGGGCCAAAGGCAGGTTTGTTTTTTTGGTTTTTTTTCTTTTTTTAATTTTGGCATTCTCCTGGAAACAACACCCAAGGACAGAGAAGGTACTGCCTATCTACCCATGTACCCTTCGGCTGTTGCCCATAGGACAGTTCCCTCACAATCCTTGATTTTTTTTATTTTTTTTTTTCTGATGAAGAGCATTTGAGCTCAAAGCTTCAGTTTGAAATCTGCCCTCAAGTTTCCATTGCACCCACTTTCTTTGGATGAGCTTGTCACCTCAGGAATCAGCAGCATCCTGTTGCATCAAGTCATCTGTTCCTTTCTTGTAGTCACACTTTAAAAGTCCCTGCATTGCTCCAGTTCTCTTTAGTGTCTATCCTGTGATATCCACATAGAAATGGCAGTGTAAACTTTATCATGATGTATGCTGACAACCTGGGACCAGGTTGAATTTTGGCAGACAGGGCTAGGGAAATACAAACAGTGCATGTGACTCATAGTGTGCCTCTTTACGGATAGAAACCCATCTCTGTCCCTGAGATCATCCTGAGTTTCTTCAGTTTCTTCAGCATATGAGGAGGGAGGCAAAGGGTGGATGCAAAAGAAGAAGTCAAAAGAACATGCAAGATATCTGTGGCAAATTATGGACATGACTGCAGTACAGAGATTATTAGATTCTAACTTGAATCTGAAATTGAAGGACACTGACTTGCAACACCAACCTGCAGATGACAAAATAACGAAGAAGCTGAGGACTGGCTGATGACATTTGTTCTGACAGTACCAATATGAGCCCAAGCACCACCTGCACAGAGTTAAGATTGTTTCAAACAGAATCCAGCTAAAAACATGAGGTTGTTTTTTTTCCAAAATGTTTTACAGTATGCAACTGCCAGCCAACTTCTGATCTGATACTGGAAGTTCTAACCCCAAATTTACTGTGCCTCCACACTACAGCTCCTTAAAATATCTTCTTTTGTTTTTTTTCTTTACATATTTCTCATCTGACTGCTGGTCTGGCACTATTTAGGTTATAAAATTCAAAATAGCCATTGCCTGAGGTGACTGGATTTTCAGGGAAGTGTTTCATGTAGGATCCATCTGTTGTCCTTGAACACAACAATCTGCATTGAGCCACTTGATTGCACCAATTTGGGTTGTTCGCAAGTGTAATTTTGGCCCAATATTAAAGCTGCCTTTTAGAAACAAAATGCAAAAATGAAAATACAGAAAACTTATAGAGAAATATAGAGAAGTAGAAGAAAGAAAAAATGATGAAGGCTTTTTTTTTATTCTTTTAATGGGAGACCTTTTTCACTAACAGACACAAAACAATTAACCATTATATTACACTTTTCAATCTCTGCTTATAAAGAAATTTTATGAAAATTTTTTATAAGCAGAAATTTATCTTTCATGAAATAAATTTTTATTTGATTAAGCCTGTAAAATTTATTCTTTATAGTAGCTTATATATGGCAGACATTTTTTTATAGAAAAGAGACTTTTGGTCAAAGAGTTCTGTATGTTTTGATGAACTCATGGAAATCTTTGTTACATTGGAGAAGGCTCCCTTTTTTGTTTTGTCAGTGCCAGTATCAGAAGCTACTGTGAGTTGTAGCTACAGGGTTTACCTTCCTGGTATACACTTTTAGATCACCAAGTATTTTTTACTTTAAATCCTTACATCTGGTTTTGAGTTTTTTTGGTTTTGGGGGGTTTTTTTTCCCTATAAACAATGCATGCTCAGTGCTGTTAAAATGCCATTAAATATTTTTGATGTGATTTATTTAGGCAACGCAATTCCTGACAAATGAGGAGCTGTAGATGTTTCAGAGGGTGCTACTGAGCTGCGTGGATTACTTGTGACTAAAGATTCATTGGTGTGCTGCCTATCCACTGATCACACTCTGCAATTGCAGCATGAAGCAGCTCATTTCTCAAGGAGGAGTCTGCAACATCATTGTGACTGTTCCTTAGTCAATGGGACAAAAAAAAGCTCTAACTAGAAAGTGTTTGTAACAATGTCTAATGCATAATAGTATACTTCTTAAGTGTCAAGCTGACTCAGAAGAGATTTAAGCCTTGGGACTTGGTCTCAGGTCCTAGTTATTGACACTAGCAAATGCTTTGAAGGTCAGGAAAGGAGTGCCTTATTTTTATAATTGCTGTTCTTTGGCTGAAGTACTTAAACAAATTGCATTTTCTTCTACTGATAGCTGTTTATCCCAATGCAAATGTAGATACAAACAAACAGAAGATAGCTGGTGTTTTCAAAGCCTGAACTGCTATCCTAGCTTCCCCAGTTTGGTTCTCAAACTACAGAGGCCAATCCTTTCCAGTGCCAAACTATCATTACCCCATTGGAAGCCACTTGGGAAGCCAATAGGTTTTTAACCCCCATTCCCATACTTTAGAAATACTGGGGGAAAAGAATCATCTACCCTATGACTTGCCAGCATGATGGCAAATAACTTCTATATAAATATGAGTGGAGCCCCAGTTGAAATCAGGAAACTTGAGCTACAACTGGCAGGTTAAGTAAAGACGGAGTTTTACTCCTAGGGATCTTATCTGTGAGATGGCCAGAGCTCAATGGTGTGAATTTGGGCTGGGGGGAGTGCATCCTTTTGCTAAAGACACCTTAATGGCAAGGATAGCCTATCTACCTGTGCTTGGGTTTTTCAGTGTTTTGGGTTTATTTGTACATTTGTATAAAATGTAACATCTAAAAATCATCTAAAACACTAGTTCATGAAAGTCTAGTTGTCTGATACAAAACAATCATGAAGCAAGGATCTATATACTATTCCTGTTAAATTTTCAAGAGAGTCAAGTCATGCTGCTGTAACACAGCTTTCTTCCCCTCTAAATGGAACACTTTCAGCAATATTATTAGGGAAAAGCTTTGGAGCTCTCACCACTGAAGGCAATGTCATGAAAAGCTTGCACACTGCCATGGCTGATAGCCTCCTGCTGCTGAAAAGTGTAGCTCCTGGCAGTCTCCTGATGACAGCAGCTGTCAGTGACAGATGTCATTAAGCAAAATCCAGTCCAGCTCTAGTGATAGGTACTGAGAAAATGCACAGCTGAACTCCCCTTGTTGTCTCTCTTCCTTCATTAATGTTCTCGTATTGCTCTGAAATCACTATTGCTACATACTTTTTTCAGTTTGTGTTTTCTTGCAAGGAAAAGCTTGCCTTTTCATTTATAAGCTGATTTTTTCTACAATATTAACATGACAAAAACTTGTTTTGGAAAAGAGCAAAGAGTTAATTTTTTTTTTTCTGGCTGGCCCCAAGTGACCCCTTGTTCCCACTGCTTTTGAAATTACTGCAGTTTGCTTAGCTTGAAAAATTACAGCTATAGGAAAAGTTATGCTTCACTGATCTATTTTAAAAAGGAACAGCAGAATTTTAAAAATAGAACCCCCATTTTTTTTTTCTAGCTCTGGCATCTCCAACCAAAGTATGTTGATGTAATTTCCAAAGCACTAAGAAATGTCTTAGGACACATCTAAGTCAGGTCAGCCAAATCCAGGATTAGTGAAAAAATGAGTTGTTCATCTGGTCTGCAATGAGATCTTTCTTCCCATCATTCTTAGTTATAAAGATATCTTTTGTGTGGTTGAAGCTAAATTTAAGCCCAGCCCGAGTGTATTTGTATACTATCTATGCGTGTTTTATGCATCAGCAGTGCACTGCATTAGTAGTCTGCACATACAATTAGGGCTTTATGGCCTTTGAAGTCAGCAAATACAAAGATTTATATATTTGCAGCAAAAAACCGCAGCAAAAACCTAGGAAGTGATAGGAATAGGTGTTTCTTACAGCTATGGTCTGAGTCTCCTTTTACTTGTATTGGTTTGCTCCATTATCTTCAGAGAAATTAGTCCTCTCCCTGATTAGAGCACCAGAAGAGAAGAAAATCCATCCCTGAATGTATGACTAGGGAGATCTGCTTTTACAGAGCTTGCTTTTGTTTTAGACCATAGACCTGCCGAGGGGGGAGCACCGTACGACAGAGCAGACCCTGCCACGGGCATTAAACTGTGCGGCGTTTCTTCTGACCAGCGACTCACAGGCAGCTCCTGAAAGACTGGGACTGAGCCCGGCACTGGTGACCGATGCCCAAGGGGTGGACCTGACCCTGTGGTGCAGCTCCCGAGGGGCCCGGATTGCCGTGGGGTTCCTGCCTGCTCGCTAGTGATGCTCCACTGGGCAGGCGGGAGGAGGTCACGCCTGGGTGCAGGAGTGAAAGTCACGTTCAGGAAAGTGTGGACTGAATGAAGGACACGGTAAGGTGAGAACATACTGATTTAACATATGCACTACTATTTTGCAAGGAACCGTGTTACAGGCTTTTTTCTTTGTCAAAGCATTCAGCTACTTTAATAGGATTTAAATGTATAATGAGTTGAACTTTAACAGATCTATAGTATCAGTTAACTAGCAAAGGAAAGTCCATGTCTAGCTATTTCCTGCTGCTACAATGTTTTAATAACAATGATACACAAAGACTTGTTTTGTTTAGCATGCGCCATATCATTGCATTTCAGACAAAGTCTTGATTCTCTTAGTCCAAGACAAAGTCTCAATTGTCTGCATTTGAGACAAAATCTCGGGACAAAAAATATGTATTTGAAATGTCCCAAACTACAGAGGAGTAAGGAATCAGATTAGCATCAGCTTCTGCTTCTAGCTACAATGAAAACAAAGATAAGGCAAATACATATTTTCTAACTGGAGGGACACATTTAGGAAAGATTTTTTACCTCATCATTCCCAAATTATGAAATCAGAAAAATGAAAATATTCTTCTCGTTCTCTGTGCACACACCCTACCCCAGGCAGACCTGTTCTTACTGTGATGAGATTTGTTTTCCTACACCAGAGTTTTCCTTTGAGAGCTCACAGGCATGGAGAGCAGTTTTGTTTACCACCCCCGGGTGCAAACCTTGTTAATTAATGTTTAGTTTTGTGTTTTCAGCTTCCAGCAATGTGGCAGGTTGATGGATAGTGAAGATGGTGATGGTGGGGAGAATGGTAAGGAAAATTCAGGAGCTGGTTTTACGTCTTTCAGTTGTGCAGGCTCAGAGGCAAAATGGCTATCAGCCTCTTAGTTATACCAAAAGAAGAAACCCCAGCTCTTGGCAGTGGTGACCCTTCTACCTTGCTTTGGTTGGTTTGGTTTTTTTCAAGATGCTGGGAAACAAAGCATAGCCAGCCTCCTGACTTTTTGCAAGTTATAAATGCTGTACAAAATTCTAGTTTCAACACCAGAAAATGATTTCTCCTGTTATTCAGAGTGATTCCAGATGCTGATGTACTTAGTTACACAGCACAAGTAACCCAACTGGAATGAAGAAGCAAGGTAATTGAGTTTATATTCATCTGTCAATATTCCCAAGGGACAGACTGTTCAGCCTGCCAAGTTTGCTCTGCTTATGCATGCAGGGCACAAACTTAAACCAACTGGAGATTCCCACAGTAGATTCTCCCTGGTGAATAGGGGATCTCTTCTGCTGTAATGTGGTGAAGGTGTCATGATTCCTTCGACCATAACCATTCCCCCTGTCTCACAGTATCAGGAGATGGGCTGAATGTTAGACAGGAAAAGAAAGAAAAAAAATCATGCTAGAACTGAGTTTTTCTTCATCAAATATTTGCCTGACCCAAGTCCCATTATCAGAGGAAAAACCATCAACTTCTTCCTAGGCTTTTCTATGCTTCTCACTATTATAATATCTGAGAGATTCACATATATTTCTTCATCTTTCTATTCTAGTGAAGCAAAGGATTGTCATCCTTATACGTGAAGCAGAACATGGGGATTAAAGCAAAGACTTTTTGAGTGAGCAGTCTGGGACAATTGTAAGTGAACATTTAGAATCATATGATCATAAAATATGCTGAGTTGGAAGGGACCCACAAGGATCATTGAGTCCAACTCCTGCACAGGGAAAGCCCGAGAAATCACACTATGTGCCTTAGAGTGTTGTCCAAACATTTCTTAAACTCTAGCAGTCTAGGTGATGTGACCACTTCCCTGAGGAGCCTGTTCCAGTGCTCAACCACTCTCTGGGTGAAAAACCTTTTCCCAGTACCCAGCCTAAACCTCCCCTGACACAGCTTCATGCCATTCCCTTGGGTCCTGTCACTGGTCACCAGAGAGAACAGATCATTATTGGCCCTTTCACTTCCCCTCATGAGGATGTTGAAAACTGTGATGAGGTCTTCCCTCAGTCTCCTCCAGGCTGAACAAACCAAATGACTTCAGACACTGCTTGTACTGCACCCAAAACTGCCCCCAGCACTAGAGGTGAGGCTGCCAACCCCCTCCCTTGCCCACCTGGCCATGCTGTGCCTGATGCCCCCCAGGACACAGCTGCCCCTCCTGGCTGCCAGGGCACTGCTGACTCAGATTCAACTTGCCACCCAGTAGGAGCCTCAGGTCCCTGTCCACAGCACTGCTTTCCAGCCTCTAATTCCCCCATTTTCAAATAACTTACATTTTTTTACTTTACCTGGCTTTGTATTTGACTGTCATGCCTTATTTAAGATAATTCCATAGGGGATCTCCACATAGCTAGACCATACAAACAGTAGCAATCTATATCCCAAACACAGAAGCAAGTCAATGCCTGTAGAAGAGCAGACATACCAGACACGTGTGAGAGAATAACCAACTGTGGCCAGCATTCAGTGCATGTTGGAAATATATGAAAGAAAAAACAGAAAAGATGTGAGAATCTGTGAAACAAAGGAACAAAACATTATTCGATCCTGTGGTCCAGGAAGAAACCAGAGACTGTGTCTCTGAGGAGAATTGAAATTAATAGCTCTTCAGCTGAGCTCTGTGTGGCAGGAGCTGGTAAGGACAAACAAAGGCACTGCCTTCTGGTGTTCAGCTTCTCTGCCATCTGAGGAAACAGTCTTGTAACCAAATCCAAGGAAAAGTGGCACCACCACAAATTTCTTCACGCTGTAGAAACAACCCTCAGTACATTGGTTCCAATGCCATGTTAAGCCACAAGTGCACAGACAAAAGCATCTGTCTTCCAAGTGGAAAGGCAGGCCCCAACAGCAGCTGCCAGTGCACAGCAGGTCTGCTGATATGTGGGTTGGATCCACTGTATGCACACTATGTAGCTGTCATAGACAGACAAATCTTATAAGTCAGATTTAAAAGTGGGAGGACTCAAAAAACACAAGTATGGGAAGGCAGGATAGTTTGTGAGACAGATCAGAGTTACCTTCACTCATGTGCCATGCCCAGGGCTGCTTAGCTGAGGTCCCCCTCCTGAGCTTTCCTGTTCTTGTTGCCATCAAGTATCCCACTGACAAATCTGGCCTGGGCAGTGGCAAGCTGTATTTTCCCTCATGGTCCACTGTGAGAACCTGGGCTTTCACCATGGGTGGTGGTGTCTGTGATGAGTAAGTGACCTTACAGATATGCGGAAACCAGTCCTGATGAACTAGCCCTCCATGTCACCAAGTGTAAGCAGAACTCATTGGCCTGAGCCTCCTGGCTAGTTTCAAGACTGGAAAGAATTGTGTGCAAGTGGGAGGGGGCCAGATACACAAAGGAAGTCAAGTCTGAGTGTCAGCAATTGAGACCCTGAGACTTTCTGAGCTCAGGCAGCTACAGGTATAGTTGCTGAGCCTCTTTCTTCTGTGCTTTCCCATGAATGATGAGGGACACTTGTCCTGGCGCCAGCACATCAGGGACCAGAAACCACAATTAGAGACATCCTTCTTCATATCCATAGGGATCCTCTGTATCTCAAAGCAGTGACAGGGTTGTGGGAAGAGGAGGATCATCTCCACCTGTGCATAAGCATGCTGTGCAGTGGCACCTTGAAGTAGGTGCCAGAGTGCTCTAGTCAGTGGGGTATGTGAATGAAGAGTGTCAGACCATGCAGTGGCAGCTTCCTGGGTGTAGGGGGCTTTGGGCAGCATAACAGGACCGTGTAACAAAGAGCAGATTTCCAAGGGTCCTGGGTACACTCTGTGGGGCTCAGTGTGCCCTTCCTGGTCTGACAGCTGTTGCAGCTGAGGGATCATGATACTCCCATGCCTCAGGCAGCCTCCAGTGAGAAACAGGGAAATGGGAGAGGCAAATGAGTGAGAACGGGGTAAACAGTATTTTGCTCAAACTGAAGTGGGGAATGTCCTTGCTCAGCAGTTGTTCTCAGCTACTCTAGTGTCCCAGGGCAAGTTCCCTTCAGAAAAACAGAAACTGATCCAGTCCAACATCTTTCTGTAAGAGAAAGACTAGGATAGGAAGGCAAACAAATTCACCCCTTTTCAGACTGTGTTCCCCAGATTTTGTTGCTCATCCTCAGTTCTGCTCAAGGTGATAATCACCAATGGCATTTTCCTCACTTTGCATAGTGCAGGAGAAACCTGGGTTTCAACCCTTTGGCAGTTCCTCAGAGGGTGGATACATACTCTCCCAAAACGAGAGTTCTTCCTTCCTGGGAAAATAAAGCCAGCAATCCAAATTGGAGTTAGAGAAGCAAATATATTTACATAAAATACGTAACACATTATAATAATAAAATAAATAATGAATTAAATTTATGATTGGGTAAGTTATAGTAATAAAACATGAACTATTTATGCAAACCAAAATTATTAACCTCCCAGAGGCAAGTAGTCAGCGCATGGAAAAACTCTTTGAGGTGCCCAGCAGTGCTAACACCAAGCAGCAACTCCGTACTTTCGTCAGGAAGGTGTAAGAGCACAAACAGGCCAACAAACCTGGAAGCATATAAAGTAATTTTCCTAGTTGTTACTGTAGGTTATTGTGCCCTGGGTATTATTGCCAGCTCCTGGCAGATTTGCTGGTCACCATGCCCTAATATGAAGGTTCCTGCTTCCAGTTTCTGTTGTGCTTTTCTGCCACAGTCACCTGTTTCCCCTCCCACATGAATTGCCGTGGAGTAAGGGAAAAGGCAGCAGCCCAGACGGACAAAGGCAGCAAAGTACCTTGTGGCTTAACTGCTGTCTTTCTCTTCTCTCTCCAAGCCGAGAAGTTCCTGAGCATGAGCAAGCCTATATGTAACTTGGCACCAGTGCCACAGATAAATGTCCATATTTTCCCTGGCAGTTAGAAACAAAACTATCCGAGGTGGTTTTTCTCTTAGAGGACGGCCTCCCTGCTTTGTAGGTTTCTCACAGGCTATGCATTCCCCAGAGGGCAGGTGAGCGGGGTTTTCCTTCCTGCGCCTGCAGCAAGAGAGTCCCAAGAGCTGCCCTGGTGCGGGGGGGGAGGTAAAGCTGCTCCCTAGTATTAGCTCCCAAAGAGGTGGTGAACATGGGAATGTATGTGCACATGGGGAGGAACAGGCACAGCAACATTGCCTGCCTGATTGAATTCTGTTATCACTATAGGGTATGCTTACAAAAAAGAGCAGGCTAATGTGATTCAGAGTAGTCAGAGAAGACAATTTACAGACCTGCCTCTTTTGAATGCTGCAGAAAGAAGAAAAGCCTTATGGCAAGTTGGAGCAGCCTGTGAAGTGTAGCAGGGTAAATAACTCCTTGCAAGTAGCAGTCGAAACAAAAACAGGATCAACAGCTGCTCTGCCCAGCTCACAACTCATCCTGCCTACTCCAGGTTGAGCTCCAGGCTGATCTCTTGCTTTGGAAGAAAATGCTAACAGTTTGATCAATTGAGATTGCTGGACAGCATCTCTTGCAGACAGACAAGCATTTCAGGAACCAGTAGCAATTATGGAATGGCCATAATATGGCAGTTATTTCTCATCATCAATATGGATGTACACTGTTTTTAGGTATCTGGATGTATTCCTGATGAAGATTCATCTTTCAGTCACTACAGTCCAGTAATTCTTCTGGTTTGATAACATTATTTTTCTCAACATTATTTATTGATTTTTGCCCTTACATTTGTTTCCAACAACTCTGTCTAGGAATACTATAGCAAAAATACCAGTTTCATCAGCAAATAAAGTATTCATGCATTTCACACTGGATCATTTTTTTTGTTTAGTTTTACACAGAGAGGAAACTGAGACAATCATGGATATATGCTGGGGATAAACATAACTACCACACTTTTTTTCAGAAGAATATTGAGATTAAATTAGGATTATTGCAGAAAAAGGACTTGACTTTTTTTACTGGTGCCTATGGGAAATGCTAATCACCTACATGCTTCAGTGAACCAGCATATGTGTGATAGCTCTTGGTTAATTCCAGTTGTTCCCTCTGCAGTTTAATCTGCTCCAGCCAAAAACAGAATCCAAGCCCATGTGCACAATTTCCACAGTAACAGCTACAACAAATCAGACATGGTAACATTTGTGTTGCAGGATTCTTTATCTGGTGGAAAGGGGAAATATCAGAGAGAAAGGCCATATCATTCTCCAATTGGACAATTACTTGGCTGGTATGAGGCTAATGCTCCCTGCATGACCAGCAGATCTACAATCAGTGCAGTCAGAGATTTCTTAATATCTGGGATAAAATCCTAGCTATCAAAGTGAGAAAATTTTCTGTCCTAAATGGAGAAGTATTTGGGATAAAATCCTAGCTATCAAAGTGAGAAAATTTTCTGTCCTAAATGGAGAAGTATTTCTTCTCATTATGTTCACTAATCAGGACTGGGATGAAGAATAGCAGGCTTGCTTAACAGAAGTCAGATTAGGGGAGTCTTCTGTCTTTAAAATATTTTATTCACCATAAGTCTTTTTAATGGTCTGTTGATTGATCTCTTTGCTTCAAAAAACAGTAAACAAAGTAGTTTGTACAGACTCCACATACTGTAGCTATGAAGTTACACTTCCTCTCTCTCTAGTAACCCTACCAATAACTACTATTTGCAAGCAGAAGATATTTTCATTTAAAATCAGGATTTCTCTCAATGCTACTCACTACTGTGCATGCAACTAAGACAAGGAGTCTTTGCAGCTGTCATAACTTCAATTCCACAACGAAACTGAGATGTTTGTTAAGCATCAAGCTCCAGTCCTTGGGACAATTAACATCTTGGCAAGTCTCCTGCTGTGATATCTGGTAGACAGTCATCGGTACATCAAATTAAGCATGCTTGAAATTTGATCTTGACCAATGCAATTTCCTTCCCCTCTTCAGGAATTCTTTCACTGCCTTTATGCCCAAGGGGTAGATGGAAAAGATAACTGTACACAAACTGCTTCAGCTCTGGAGCTAATATTGAAAAGATAATCTTACTTCTGTTTATACTGCTACTTTGCTGTACAAAAATTATCTTAACAATCTGTGAAATCCAGCATTAAAAAAAAACAAACACAGGAAAATGTATTTCAATTCATGCAAACTAGTCCTTTTGCAGTCTGTTATAGCCTATATAAGAGACAATGGTTATCTATGGCAGAAAGGCAAAATAACCTTTTATAACAGAGGAGTTGTGATTTGGTAGAATTTTTATCCTATAACTTTTTAAGCATTTAAGAAAGCATATTTGAATTAACTGACTATGGAAATAATCTTACATGTACAAGCATTATCAAGAACACACAGACTAGGTTGCCTCTGCCACAGGTTACAGAATTCATGTTATACAGGCCAGAGTAATCTTATTTTAAAAAAAAAGGAAACTTCTTACGAAGCAAATAGAAATTTATTGTCAATTAAAACATTCTGGTTTAGATTATTATTAATACTCATATGGTATATGCAGAAATATTTTTAGGTATTTGTGAAATTTGACATCTTTCGGAAAGTTTAACATCTTTATTACTTTCGGCAGACCTTTGAAATTCAAAGTCATTCATCTCAGAGACGACATTTTTCCTGTGTTCTGTGAATTTCTGTGTGAGAGTCATTGAGATGGAAACTGTTGGGAACCACCACTGTTTCTCTCTTGTTGGTTTCTCCAGGAAAGGTCAAGGCAGTCTGCCAGTATAGTAATTGGGCAACATCACTGTTTTAAAGACCCAAGTTCTTGCTGACACTGAAACAGTAATAGGAGATGAAGCATTAGTAGAAATCGTACAGCAAAAGCATAATGAAATTTCTGGACTCAATTTAATAGAGATGAAGCTTAAAAAGGTTTAGTATGGTAGAGGAAACAAAACTTGGTTTATACTGTGTGGTCTTCCAGCTCCAGGGCCTGGACCAAGTAACTCCAACTTCTGCCTGACACTCCAAAATTGATTAATGAAATGTCTGCAATGACTCAATAAATGGCAAGAGTCTGTATTTCTCTATACATGTCCCAGGGGACTTCCCTCCACTAGTTTTTTTCTCTCTTGAAAACAAGCTAGAACATCCAATTCCCTACGCTCCAATCATTAATTAGTGCCACTTAAGCCACAGTACAATTCCTGATATATTAGAAAATGACAGATTTAAGACTCTCTGGGCAATCTTTTTTTGTCTCTCCCCATGTGCATGTTTTCTTACAAACCCTTCCACGACACAGTCAGATTTTAGACTTTCCCACAGGATGCATGCCTCATTCTGTACAACACAGGATAATCACACCCAGTGGCAGAAAGAAATTAGCATAGCAGTCTTAATCTGGTATTTCCTAATTTTCCTAATTTCCTTATCCTTCAGTGTTCAGCTGCACTAATCTAAACAATATTCTTTTAATGTAATTTTTTAACATTACCATTTAAATATATATGTATGCGCATTTGTGTATCTATCCATCTATCTGCATCTGTTAATGTATTGGTAAACACAAAAGAAAAAGATAAAAGTTGTTTGTTTTTAATTCTTTCAGAACCGTTTGATCTCTCCGCTTGTTTTAGCAGCTGCCTGACTGTTTTTCCTCATATGTAAACTTCAAAGTCAATCAGAGGTCAAAACTTTGGACAAAGACAGAATAAGGAAAACAGTGGTGACTGGCATATGCGATGGGAAGAAACAGAGGAGCTGGGTTGTAGAATACTGTGTGTTTCTGGCCACAGCAGGGGGGGAAATTATCTACCTCTTGGACATAACATTTCCTGATCTGAAAGTTTGATATAGCTGTCTAGGCCTGAGACTTGCCTGGAAATGTATCTCGCAGAGAAATAAAGGGTACAGCCCTTCATGCACAGAAGGACTTGACATTCACTGCTATTCTTGATCCAAGCAGTCTGAAAATAGCTTAATAGATTACCGTAAAAATGCTGCAGAAAAACAGCTGGTTTCTGTTAAATGCAGAGGGTTTCAGGGGTGGGTATTTGGTTTGATTCCCAATTTGTTATTTGCTGTTTCTGGTTATAGGAAAATCAAAGGAAATGCAAGTCCTGGAGAGGCAGCTTCTGTAGCAGAATAATGTGGAGCATTTTCTGTAGGCATGTGCAGTCATAGTACAGGATGTGTCTTCAGTTCATGCTTTTTTTTTTCCTTCACGAGAACATCTGCCATTCCCTCCTTCATCTGTCTGCAGAATCAGGCCCCTGCTTGTGCAGAGCCCGGCAGAAGGCCATGAGCATCCCTCAAGGCTGGGGGTTGTAGCCTTGCAACTTGCCTGGCACCTGGTAAAACAGCCTGCAGAAATTGGGAACACCTTAATGATTCACACATCCTCGAAGCAGCTCCTGCCAACAGAGTTGCTGGAGAGGCCCAGCAGAGGAAGAGGTGGATTCCTCTGTGTGTGTGTGTGTTTGGGTTGGAAGGGACCTTTAAAAGTCCTCAGATTTTTTGTAGATGATGAGAATTTGTTTAAATGATTTTAAAATGATAAATGTTTAAAATAATTTGTTCTTAAAAAAAAATAGTCGTTGGTTAAAATAGTGTTTAACCAGCAGGGAAGATGGAAATGGGACCAGGGCCAATGCATCTCCCCCAGTCTTTGTTTTCTTAAGTTTTGGACACCTTTTGCTTTTCCTACAGAAGGCCTAAAATATGTGATTTTTACCATATGGGCTAGAAACAGGTATCCTTGATGGCATCCCAGGAAGTAGGAGGCCCCTGAGAAGTATAAATTGCAGTGAGCAATATTATGGGGGGGTTTGAAAATGCCAAAGCAAACCTGGTGATACTTCTGCAGGATACTGATGGCAATAACTTGACTTACAAAACCTGGTGATACTTCTGCAGGATACTGATGGCAATAACTTGACTTACACTATGATTTTAATTACTGTTATTATTAAATTATTTCAATTATTTCCCTGAAATATAGTAGTTTGTATTTGTTGTTTCTTCTACCCACATTTAAAAAAAACCCCTCAAAGACACAAAAAACCCCATGCCCAGGTTCTAGTTAAGCTAAAACCCAGGCTGTGAACCCTGGGACTGTAAGCTGTGCTGAGTGAAAGGGTTTTAATAAGACATAAGAATGCCACTTTTTAGTTCATGGAAGCAGACAAACTTTTCCCACTTTCTCCTACTGTGAGACACCCTTCGAGGGCTAAGGAGAGTTTCACCCTCAAAACTCCTTCTAATTCGAGGAATATATTTAATGTGTGACCTACTGTCCCTTGTTAACATGACCAGAAGCAAAATTATTCTCTGTAGCTTCTCATTCAGCGGCCTTTTTCTACATAGTTCAAGGCCACTGAACATCATGCTTTCCCTAAATTAGCTATATACCAGTTCTTGTTGTAGCTGAGTGTTAATTTTCAGATTTGCTTCAATGAATTCTGAAAGAACTAAAATTTTACTCACTATTTATTATAAATGCACTATCTCTTTCCCATTAACACCAAAGTGAAGGAAAAAAATCCAGCAAGAAATCAGTGAGAGAAAAGGAAGAGAAAGTGTGAACAATCTGCAAAAAAACGTGTAGGAAAAGGATGTAAGTGGTGTAAAGAGCAGCTGAAGAGGTGCAGGAGGGAGCAGCTGGGAAACAAAAGCAGAAAGGCTGCTGGAGCAAAGTTGGCTCTAGGCGGCCCGGATGGGAGGAAGGGGAAGTGTGAGCAGAAATGGGAGCGAGGAGTTTGTGTTTGGTCTTTAAGCAGAGGGTGAGGAGGTTGTAGTGAAGAATTAAAGCAGGAAGGAAGCCAGAGGAGGCAAATAAAAAGTGGAGATATTGTTTGTGTAAAGGAAAAAAGATTACTTTAGGGGTAGCATGGGGCATCATGCGCTGGTGGACTGCGTAACATAAAATCAGCTTGAAGCAGCAGTTGTGATTCTTCAGGACACAACCTAGAAAAGAATACTGTGGCTTAATTTTAATCCTTTTTTAACCCAGGGTCTCTCCATATAAAGGATGAACATTGTGTTGCCCTGAGCGCTAAATGGAGTGCGTTGTGTTTTGTGCCTTGTCATTGATTCTAAATGCCTTTTGTGTTTCGGGGCTCTGAAAACAAAGGTCAAGTACTAGCAAATTCTGTTTTCTGTGAGAGATTTAATTAAATCCTAAGGACAAAGGCAGAGTACTAGAAACAGCTATTGAGTGTGAAAGATGGGTAAATTTGCATTACCATTTCTCTGTATCAGTTTGCACACAGCTTTGTAATTTGTTTTTTTTTATTTCGTTGTTTGGGAGTTTTTGTTTGTTTGTTTGTTTGTTTTAATCGACAGAGAATAAATATTTTAAAAATCAAGGTAAGTCTTACAGATGTTATTTTCTGCATGTAAGT